TCTACATTCTAACTAGCTTCAAGGGGCACCCTATCCTATGTAAGAGGGCTCTAATGAATGGTGGAGAGAGGAGGATTTTGTTTTCTTTCAATAGCGTCCTTGTTGAAGTTCAGTCACTTGTCAAACAGGAAAACAAAAGCCAGGGCATGCTGTTGTTTATGGATCCTGGTAGTCATGCAGAAATGCTGGGAGGGGCTTGGAAAATGTTAGGTGTGAGCCTTCCAAGAGGACCTGTTACAGGGGCACCTGCTTAGAATGACCTTGGACACAAAGAAGCCCTGTGCATGGTGAATTTGTGCATCAGGGTAGAGATAATAACTCCTGTAAGAATATAACATAAGGAGGCTCTGCTAAAGCTCTGCATCGTGAACAACTGTGTTGGCCGGATTAAGCAAATGAGAAGGGATATTGTACCAGGAAGCATTGATCTTGATAATCTAACAATTTGCACAGCCTACTTACTGATTTACAGGAAAGTGGGCATCAGGACATTGCTGTTTTTGCTCTACAAATTCGTCTGCAGGATCAAAAATATGTTTTTAGTGTTTTAGATAATACTTAGCAATAATTTGAAGCACCTAGGCCTTCAGTATCCACAAATTTTACAAATCTATTATATTTCTTTTCTGGAAGAGATTGTCATTCTGAGAACATGAAATTTAGTGTTGCAACCAAATGTGTTGGACATTTGTTTACAGTCTCTTTTAATAATATGCCAAGCAGGTGTGTTTGCAAAAACCAAATTAAAACAAAACAAAACACACCACCACCTAAACGTAAAAATGTTTGTAGAGCCTCTTGTTTATAATGAGTTTTCCTTTGATGTGCAGTTTCAGAATCTGAATGCCTCTCATGTAAAAATTGCTGATAAAGCACTCAAATATGAAATTGTTATGAAGCATACACATTTTTAAGATAAAATGTGACATGCTATAAATTTTATCTTTAAGGAGAGCTGCAAAGGGAATGGTATTAGGATGCTTTTAATCTTTTGAGAGGGAACGGATGGAACATTATTTCTCTGCGTGTATCTAGACTGTTGACTGGATCTGGCACACTGTCCCCTTGTCTGTGACAGATTTGGCTTCATTTCATTTTTGTGTGGAGCCGAAGGATGTGGAAGAGGTGGTAGGAATGTGTAATTCAGGCAGACCCTGTAGACTTTCTCAGATTTACTGTCTGAAGGTTTGCTAAATAATACATTTAAATGATGATAATTGACTGAGTATGGTAGCTGCCTATTTGTTAGAGCTGTGGCAGCCCAAGCAATATTTTCAAGTCTTTTCAAGGACATTCCTTATTAAAAATAGTATTGCATTTAAAACAGCCATGCTGTCCAACTGAAGTACTTAAAACATTTAGTGGACTGATAAAACCCTTTAATCTGCTAAAACCTGTGAAATTCTGAAGGGTTTGATTTCTTCCTTTTCTAACATATCTTAAATTCTGACTATTTTAACATCCCTTTGAGTGTGCATAGGACTGCAGGGAGGAAATCTAAGGGAAGGATAATTATTGACACAGATTTTGGCAAAAGTCAGTGTTCCTGCCTCACCTCCACTCCACCCATGAGGCAATCCTTGGAGGACTTTTCAGCCCACTCGGCTTAATAGAGATCATTCCACTTTTTTCCCTTTAGTGTACTTTTATCTGGTGCATTTATGGATTATAGAATCTAATTTGCCTTCTTAAGAAGTTTCTCTTTGTTCTTATTTGCATGGAACTCTCTGCTTTTACAGGACATTTTAATGCACAAAATGAGACATTGTGGGTCCCATTTAGATTATTGATATTTCACTTGGTCCCCAGAGCTCTAAACTTAGAGGTAAGTTTAGAGGTGAGAGCAGAACCAGTGTGTATGCCTAGCAGGACAAAGAAAATGGAACTTGGTTTTTTTTTTTTTTAATGAAACATAAGAAAACACTAAGCCTTATTTTCAATTAAAAGGAAAATTTTAAAGTTTGTTCCCTGCCATGTTTGACTATTAAACGTTTGGGGAGCAATGAGATACCCATTTTGGTGGCAAGACCTGAGTTATAAGGAAGGAAGTAGTGGGAGAGGAGGGCAGACAGGAAAGGCTGTTTGATGATTGACTCTAAATGCCAGGCTCAGGGTGTCATCTCTAACTCGAGAGCCAGGGAAGGTGAAATACACATAACATCAAATTTGTCATGTTAACCACTTTCAGTGTATCGTTCAATGGCATTAATTACATTCACGGTGTTGTACAATCATTGCCACTGTCCATTTCCACAACTTTTTTTATCACCCCAAAACAGAAACTCTGTACCATTAAACAATGACTCCCATTCCCCCTCCGTCCAGCCCTTGGTAACCTCTAATCTCCTCCCTGTCTCTATGAATTTGCCTAGTTTAGGTACCGCGTACAAGTAGAATCATACAATACTTGTCCTTTTGCATCTGGCTTATTTCACTTAGCATAATGTTTTCAAGGTTAATCCACATTGTAGCATGTATCAGAATTTCATTCCTCTTTTTTTAAGTTAAAAACATTTACCCTGTGTATGTCCTTCCAATGACATCCATATCTATAGATAGCAGCGTCATCTTTGAATACAGTGACCAATTTTTAAAAAAGAATTAATTGTGATAAAAACACATAATAAAATTGACCATCCTAACCACTTTTTAGCATACAATTCAGCAGTGTTAACTATGTTCACATTGTTGTGCAACATATCTCTAGAAATTTTTCATCTTTCCAAACTGAAACCATTGAAACACCCATTGAACAATTCCCCCGTTTGTCCCTCCTCTGAGCCCCTGGCAACCACCATTGTACTTTCTGTTTCATAATTTTTACTACTTTAGATACCTTAGATTCCATGTAAATGGAATCACGCACTATTTGTCTTTTTGTAACTGGCTTATTTCAGTTAGTATAATGTCCTCAAGGTTCATTCGTGCTGTAGCACGTGCCCAGACTTCTGTCTTTTTTAAGGCTGAATAATATTCCATTGTATGTATATACAACATTTTGTTTACCTATTCACCTGCTGATGCACATTTGATTTGCTTCTCCTTTTGGCTTTTGTGAGTAGTACTGCTATGAACATCGGTGTATAAATGTCTGTTTGTTGAATCCTGCTTTCAATTAGGTATATATCTAGAAGTGGAATTTCTGGATCATATAGACAAGGAAGGTTTTTGAGTAGAATAAGGACACAGAATTGTGTTTAGAAAGATGAACTAGGTGGGCCTGAGTACATAGGATGGATTCAGCTGGGGTAGAGCAAGGAAGGTTCAGGTGGGAGAGAGGCAGGGGGGATTAAATTAGGAGCTATTACCATGGTCCAAACATCTTTGAGGGAAGGAGGGTAATAGAGCAGTATCTCCCCTATAGCAGGTTGAGGAGTAATATTCTTAAGGTGATTCACAAGAAAGAGTTTGCTCTGGAAGAGGAGGGTTTTGGTCAAATGTACCTCTTTTTGGGCTCAAGAGAGAGAAGCTCCCATGGATTTACCTTGCTTCTCTCGACTTTCCTTCTTACCCTTAGTCCTGGTATAATCCTCTCAGCCTGGAACCATTGCTGACTGCAGATCTTACCATAAGGAACAGTAGAATTAAGGGGTGACTTGGGTGGTGTTGCTTAATGTTCATCAGCCTCTCCTTCCACACTAAATACATACACATTCTAAGTAAAAGTTGGTGGGCTTGATGTGCAAATACAATTTCCAGATAACTCCGGAAGCCACTCTGGGTGATTAAATTAAACCCCTAAGTCCCCACTATGGAAATTGTGGAACTGCCCGAATATAGGCTTTTATTCTCATCACAACCACTACCTGGCAACATCTGGAAGGGTGAGATGTCACCGTTCCCACCGTATTGAGTCAGGAGATTTCAGTACCTCTAGTCTAAAAAGGAGCCTCCTTACAGCACCTACTCTGGTGCTTCCATGGAAGGCAGGAGATAACAAATACATCAGGGCAGCTACAACTAAAATTGTTCTGAGATAGCCATGAGAGACAAGAGGCGACCGAAATGAGCCCCCTGCTTCCTGGGAGGTGGTTGGTAGTGGAGGGGTTGGTGGTTTTCATTGACCTATGGGAGGATGGCAACGCTGAGTCCCAGAAAAACTCCCCATTTTACAAGTCTTTTTTATTATATATAGCAAGTCACATCTTCAAATATGTCAGAGGAGCTGTCAAGATGTTTGCCTTATTTTCCAACTTGGGTCATGTTGAAACAGATATAAATTACTGTCATTTTAGCACAAAAAAATTTAGGAGCTGTGCTGATACTATCTGTGTGAGAGATGGGAAGAGTTAAGAATGCAGCAAAAGTCCCACCTGTAGTCCTTTCATGTAGGTGGTTCTGACTGGTTTAGTCAGTAATAACTCCCGGCATTCTTGCCTTAGGTCCAGGAGATAACCCAGATACACCCTAACATGAGTAGGTGTGTCTTGCTTTGAGAAAACCCACTATATGAAAAATCCAAAATGACCAGAAAGATAAATTTACAAGATACATTTTATAATATCCTTGCTATAAAATTTGCCCATTTTACTTTTCAAAAATTTTACTTTCCAGAAGCCTTCCCTTTGTATAGAATCCCTTTAACTAGCTAAACCTATATCCTCTCTCCCATTGCGGATTGAAAGTATGATTGAATTGCATAAAAATGTGGGCTTTCTCATGATCTTTCAATGTATCCAAATTATGAACCTGATCTGGAAAGGCTCCGTTTGGAAGATGCTATGTTTTCTTGCCAGAGCCTTACAGCACCCCTGAAACACATGCGCACTTCCAAAACTACAAAGTCCCAAAAACTATCTGAAGGAATGGCTTTGTTCCACAACGCTGATTCTACTTCAATAATATGGTGCAGACATTTGAGCTGTAAATGTTCATTAAAGAAAATCTTTTCTCGTCCAGTAGAATATTTCTTTGTACGTCTGCCTGTTGTTCTGGTGTTTCTGTGCAGTGGCTCTAGATTTATTGATGTTAAAGTGTGGGCTCTGGGTTTCTTCTCCTAGATTGGTCGCTTAGTCATTGGACAGAATGGAATCCTCTCCACCCCGGCTGTGTCCTGCATCATCAGAAAAATCAAAGCCATTGGTGGGATCATTCTGACGGCCAGCCACAACCCAGGAGGGCCCAATGGAGATTTTGGAATCAAATTCAATATTTCTAATGGAGGTAAGTTTGCTGTCATTTTGAAGACAGGCAATTTTATATTCAGTAGGATAAACCAACACCTGAAGCCTTGGGAGGCCAGAGTTCTGGTTCTGATCCTTTGGCAGGGGGTCTATTTGCTTTATTTCTTCATTTTGGTGACAGTGAAATGATTCTCATTCTGCTGTACCTGGATCTGAAGAGCCATGCGCAAATCATCGCTAACATATTTCCTTTCAGGAAAGTCCTGATGCTCTGCTGCCTGAATGATGACCTGGTACATGCGCTAGTGAGGAGGCACTGATGAACTTTGGATTCTTTGCATTTTCTTGTGAGCTGCACAAAGTGACCTACTGTTTGCTGTTTGATTTCCAGGTCCTGCTCCAGAAGCAATAACTGATAAAATTTTCCAAATCAGCAAGACAATTGAAGAATATGCAATTTGCCCTGACCTGAAAGTAGACCTTGGTGTTCTGGGGAAGCAGCAGTTTGACCTGGAAAACAAGTTCAAACCCTTCACAGGCACGTTGACTTTCCTCTTCTTCCTGCCCACTCCTGTTTCCAACTTGAGCAATTTTCCTTTCGAGGTGTTAATACAGTGGGTCTTCAGCTATGGAAAGATTGTGGTCACTGGGCTTTGCAAGCATTAATCAATTAGCAAGTGTGGAATTAGGCTTGGGAGTCTAGAGAACTGGGCCTTCTGGGCCCTGCTAGTGATCGGCTGCATAACATTAGGTAAGTCATTTCCAATTCTCTGGGCCTCGGTTTTCAGACCTGTAAAACAAATGGCTTTGACTAGAAGACCTGTAAGATTGCACTCATAGTTAATTTTTACTGACCTCTTATTATGTGCCGGACTCTTCACATGCATTATTCCATTTTATTCTCACAGTAGACCTATGAGGGCAGCACTGTCAGTATTCACTATTTACAGATAAGGAAATGAAGGCAGAGAGAGGTTAAGTAACATGCTCAAGGTCACAGTCAGTGAATGGTAAAAACCAGGATTTAAACTCAGGTGTGAATGACTCCCAAGCTTGGCCTTTTTTTTTTTTTTCCCTGATGCAGTAAAATCAATCAGACCAAGTTTGAGGGCTAAATTGAAACTCCCTGTATACGCAGATGTGGTTAACACTTTGTTGTTGAATGCCAAGCTATTATAATAATTGATGGAATAAATGTTTATACAGTTATTCATATTAATAAAACGAGGATGAGATGGTTGACAATGGACTTGCATTTTGACTTCGCCCTAACACGTATTCTTTTCTTCTGTACTGCAACCTTATGCAATGCATTTTTTGTTTGAACCTACTTATTGAGAGCTGACAATTCATCCTAATAAAGATAAAGTGGTACTTTGGTACATCTCAAAGATTTTCTTGGGGTTCAGAAAACACCAGTAGAGAGTTTCCTAAAATTTCGATGTCTTGAAAATATTCAGAACCCATGAAAAACCAATGAGAACAATACTAAGTTCTTATATTTGTTTTATTTCTTAAGCAGTATGTGTGAAAAGCGATTCATTAAAAAATTTTGTTTTCAACTTTTTACCATTAAGTCATGATGACTGAAAAAGAAAAAAAAGAAAAGTAGGCATTATGTTTTCCGTCATCTGTAACACCAAAATGCACCTCTTACGGAGATGACTAGGGAGGCAATGTGGCCGCCTAGCAGAATTTATGCAACCTCCATTGAAAATGCTCTGTGTGCCCCATCCTGGCTGGGTGGACAAGTGCCTTAACCTGTCAGATCTTAAACTTCCTCATTTATAATGTACGACTAACAACATTTACTTCTCAGGAAAATTGTTGGTATTGAATAAGATATTTAATAGCTCTGGTGTATTGGAGCTGCTCCATAATTGTCCTTTTAAAACAGCTATTGCAAGTTTACAGCAATGTAATCATTTCAAGTATGATATTTCTTAATGTGTTTAATCCTTCCATCTCCTAACGTGCTTGTTCTTACAGTGGAAATTGTGGATTCGGTGGAAGCTTATGCTGCGATGCTGAGGAACATCTTTGATTTCAAGGCACTGAAAGAACTACTTTCTGGTCCAAACCGGCTAAAGATCCGTATAGATGCCATGCATGGAGGTATGGAGTCATTCCTCTAAGATTCCTTTCTCTCAAAGATAGGAAGTTGCTCTCTACTGTGTGTATCACAATGCTTTAACAAGCCTCTTCTCAAGTCTCTCTCTAACAGTTTTTGAACAGAGTTATTTTGCAACCTTTCCAAGCAGTATTCACACAGATAAAAATCTAATTGTACGTAGTAAAAATAGTAGCAACATTCCTCATGGTAAGCTAGCGTGAAGGTCGGTATTTCCACATTAAGCCTCAGGTTTTGAGTAACATGCAACTGTTGTTGCGGACTCTCCCTACCCCTCGGAAGATACCACTCATTCTTTTGCACACCCCCGTGTATTTCTGAGGGAGAAATGTATTTGCTAGATGTGGTGAACATGCCCCTGAGCCCTGAACCCCAAATCACCTACCCTTACTTGCTCCTTTTCTTAGAAGAGGGAAAAAGCAAGTTGAGGACTAAATTCAAGAACAACAGGATGTGTATATCCTTCTCTTCCTCCTCTGTGGGTTGTGTCGTCAGGTCAGTAGAGACCGCAGCCATCATTGTGAACCAGGGCCATGGAATTTTCTCACATGTAGGAATATGAGAATTCCTGAGCACTTAGAATGTCCTTATCTGTGGTCCCCAACCCCTGGGCCACAGACTGGTACTGGTCCATGGCCTGTTAGGAAGCTGGCCACACAGCAGGAGGTAAGCGGTGGGCAAGTGGAGTGAAGCTTCATCTATATTTATAGCTGCTCCCCATCACTCGCATCACCGCATAAGCTCTGCCTCCTGTCAGATCAGCGGTGGTGTTAAATTCTCATAGGAGCGCAAACCCTACTGTAAACTGCACACGTGAGGGATCTAGGTTGTGTGCTCCTTATGAGAATCAAATGCCTGATGATCTGAGTGGAGCTGAGGTGGTGATGCTAGCGCTAGGGAGCGGCTGCAAATACAGATTATCATTAGCAGAGAGGTTTGACTGTACAATAAATGTAATGCACCTGAATCATCCTGAAACCATCCCCCCACCACCCCGGTCTGTGCAAAAATCATCTTCCATGAAACTGGTCCCTGGTGCCAAAAAGATTGGGAACCACTGTCTATATGTTTTGTAATAATCTAGAATGTTAGAACTTTTGAGTGGCAAGGATTCTCCCTGGTGTGGGAATCCACACGCACATCTGGCAGGCTGGGGAAGACTTTCTGCCTAGTGCTTGGACCCTTTCAGTGATGCTGTTTGGGGCCTCCCGTTGCACTGCAAACCATGGTTAGAAAATCTTCTCCTAGTGGGCTGAAATTTTCCATCCCTGGAACTTCCCCGCTGGGATCCTGGGTGGCCCTCTGGAGTCCCACAGAACAGATCTACTTCCTTATTCAGACCAAAGCAATCCTGTCATTTTAAGCCAATCAACAGACATGTATTGAGAACCTGCTACATGCATGCCTGGGGACAAGGCAGGAAGGTGGCAGATGACTTCCTTCTAAGAGTTTGCGGAATGTTTAGGGACATGAGGTAGGTAAAAAACTAACCACTGCCAGACCTACAAAATGAGAGTTAGAATCTCAAGTATTGTCTTTGGGGTTAGAAAAAGGCATCGTTTGACTAGGGGTATCAAGAAAGGTTTCCTGGAAGAAATGGCAGTTTTTCATAACACTCAGCTTTTAGGAAAGAAAGAAAGATCTAGAGTGATGGAAATCAAGCAATGGTTATTCCCAGCAGAGTCGATGGCTGTCACAAAGATGTGAAGGTTTAAAAATAGATGCCACATTAGGAGAATGAGGTGAAGCCTGGGCTGGCTGGAGAATGGGGCTTGTAGGTGGGTATTAGGTAAGAGAAGCTGGTCAGGAAATAGAATTCTTTTTTCCAGGTCTTTTGGTTGTTCCTCTAATGCCTCCATTTCTGTATCCCTCACAGCCCTGGCTGCCTTGACCTCATTCTGTGGTGTGTCAATAACCTGCTTACCATGTGGCCCCTCATAGGAGACACATACTCTGCCCTGTTCTGGCCTCTGGCATGTATTGTGTTGGGGTTAGTACCTCCCTTGATGAACACTCATCCTCGGCATCTTAAAGATGCATGTTCCTGGTATACAAAATGTCATTGTAAATGTATGTGACCGGTTTCTCCTGTCACTTGTTGTTATTGGTTTTTGTTGTTATTGGTATTTTTTGACCAGTTTTTCAGAAAGCTTGACATGGTAGAAAGATGGGAGCTCTGAATCCCAACCCCCACTCCCACTAGCTGTGTAAGTTTGGGCAAATTTCTTATCTCAGAACATCAGTTTTCTTATCTATAAATTGGAGGTTATAATCATAACATAAACATTTATAACATATGTGCCAGATACGGTTGTCAATGCTTCATATCTATTAACTCATTTAATCCTCACATCAACCGTGTTAGGTGGTTACTATTATGATCCTCATTTTGCAGATGGGAGAGACTGAGGCACAGAGAGATTAAATAATTTTCCCAAAGTTGTACAGCCAATGATTGGCAGAGGTGGGATTTGTCCCAAGACACTCTGATTCCAGGGTCTAGGCTCTTAAGCGCTGAGCTGTCCCACCTTGTGAAGGACTAAATGAGGAAATGGTTGAGAAGCACCTGGCACAGGTGTACAGTAGGGCCTTCATAACTGTTAGTTCCTTCCCCTTCCCTCACTCTTCCCTCGTGACTGGCCCCACCTTCTCCAACCTAATCTCTCCTTGTTCCCTTTTATAGAAACTTCTTCCCCAGTCAGACTTACTCTTCACCAGCCCCTGAATACAGTTCGTATGTTCTCATTGCTGCTCATGCCTTTCTTGTCCCCAGAATGCATCCACCTCAGCCCCTCATCCTCACATACTTTAAGAAGTTTTATCTTCTGATTCCCCACGTACTTTTACTTTGTGCTTTCCGCAGTTGTGGGACCATATGTAAAGAAGATCCTCTGTGAAGAGCTCGGCGCCCCTGCAAACTCAGCAGTTAACTGCGTTCCTCTGGAGGACTTTGGAGGCCACCACCCTGACCCCAACCTCACCTACGCAGCCGACCTGGTGGAGACCATGAAGTCAGGAGAGCATGATTTTGGGGCTGCCTTTGATGGAGATGGGGTGGGTACAGTACATTTAGGTGAACTCTGATGCAGGCCAGGCTTGATCTTGCAGATGGGGAAAAAGGAAGGGCTGCTTCTACCAGGCCCTGGGAGCAACTGTCGAGGGTCTCTCATTGTACCCGAGGTCAGAACTAAATTATTAAAAGACTACATTAACAGAAATAAGAGTCATTGAAATGTAACCCACGTAACCCATGTGTTTAATTTCGGATATCCATATTTGCTAAGATTGGCAGGTGAATGGGTTCCAGGTATGACATAATGACTGGTCCTTCCTGAGCTGGTTGGGTTCTACATACCTGTCCTAAAGAAGGTTTCTGCTCTCAACGGGCAGCCGGCTACTAATTTAATCTCTGGAAAAGGTTTTGGTCTTATAATGTACCCATTCATTCACATTAGCTGAATGTTGAAACTATAATTTTATATTCCATATGAAGATAATATTGAGAGAATTAATATTTTATTCCTTGTCTGCAATGAAAATATTTGTAAATAAGCTGTTTTGTTCACATCGGTGACTCTGTAACAGAAAATGAAGAGATGTGTCTTTGGTTGTCTCCCTGGTGTCTCACAGGTAGTCGGCGCTGTACACGTTCACTTAGTTGAAAAAATATTTTTTTGTTGCTATTATTCTTTGCCGTCAGCTAGAATCCACTATTTCCTGAAGAATCATTTTTCCCGTATCAAAATTTTGGGAAATTAAAGGGGTTCCTAGCAGACATCATTTCACAACATGTCTTTGTGCTATGGCATGTGTTGGGCAGTTTTTCCCTCCATGTTCTCAGTTACTTGAGTGTGACTGTGCACCAGGCACCCAGGAACCAGTGACAGTGGCAGCGTGTTTTGCTGGATCCAGTACCCACTGGAGAGGCCAGGACTTAGAGGCCTTTCCTCGAAGAAATCTGCCTTTGTTCCTCAAAAGGATGCCTGGTAGGCCTACCAAACTGTGTAAACAGCCAATGTTTCTTCTCTTACTGTGTCCTCCCCTCCCCCGGGAGAGAGGTGATTGGTTCCAGAGTTTGGAAAAGGTCTAGGAGGTTAACGTCAGCCGGCCTCTGGAGGGAGAACAGAGTATTCAGCTCAAAAGGAGTTTGTGCTTGCACTTTAATTGAAAACAGTTTTAACTCTTTGGCCCAATGGTACTGTATAAACCCATTAAAAATAAAATCCAGTGTTTAAAACCCAGTGTAAGTAAATGTATCAGTTTTCAATTTTATAAAACTCCCATGGAAGATGGTTTGATTTCTTGTAGTCTGATTAAAAGGTCTTCCTTTGAATCTTCTTTCCCCTGTAGGATCGAAACATGATTCTGGGCAAGCATGGGTTCTTTGTGAACCCTTCAGACTCTGTGGCTGTCATTGCTGCCAACATCTTCAGCATTCCGTATTTCCAGCAAACCGGGGTCCGCGGCTTTGCACGCAGCATGCCCACGAGTGGTGCCCTGGACCGGTAGGTCTCTCCATTTCCTTGGCCCTCCTGTCTTGGATTGTCCTGGTCCTCACCGTGCCCTTCACTGTGCCTGGCACATTTGTCCTTCCCTTCCAGTGTAGGCATCTGGTGCACAGTGTGTGCTAACTAAGTGCTTCTTATATAAGGGAATGGGTGGATTTTTTCTGGATTAGATGCCCCCCTCTGCACTCCCTTAGCTCTCTGGACTTCCTCCCTCCTGGCACTTATCACACTGTGTTCTGACAGCCTGTGTGCCTGACTGCCCTGCTGGCCTGTGTACTTCTGCAGAGAGAGGATTGTCTTCTTCACCATCCTAGACCCTGCCTGACCCTGATGTGCCTGGCACATAGCAGGGCAAACACGCACAGACATCATTTTTTAAAAAATGAACGAATGAATGAATGTTAATGAATAAATGAATGGATAGCACTTCCACTGTACTCAAGACATCTTTCTAGAGGATTACTTTGCTTTAGCAGTGTGCACAGAGTTTGGGTGAAAGAGCAGATTGAAGTAACAAGAGTTTCAACAGAACTGGATCACCCATGTACACACAGGCACAGTGAATGTTCATTTGTGCAAAATCTAAAACAGAAAGTTCAAATAGGTAAGAAAAAATTACATTCAGTTTTTGTGAGATAGAAACCAGTGACAATGAACAGTTGATATCTCAGATTTGCTTGTCTGTATATTTGTCTATTTATTATGTATCACTTCATTGTACAAAGGCCTTAAGGTGGCTTATGAGATCACAACTAAAAACTTGAAAAATAGAAGGAATAAGTAACAAATGAGGACTAGGGAAAATATTAATTAGAACATGTCAGATGCCCAGGAAACGTTTGCTAAATGAAAAGTAAAGAAAGAATGAATTAGGCTGGGTGTAGTGGCTCGCGCCTGTAATCCTAGCACTCTGGGAGGCTGAGGCAAGAGGATTGCTTGAGTTCAGGGGTTGGAGACCAGCCTGAGCAAGAGCGAGACCCCGTCTCTACTAAAAATAGAAAAATTAGCCAGGCGTTGTGGCACGCGCCTATAGTCCCAGCTACTCAGGAGGCTGAGTCAGGAGGATTGCTTGAGCCCAGGAGTTTAAGGTTGCTGTGAGCTAGGCTGATGCCATGGAACTCTAGCCCCGGCAACAGAGTGAGACTCTGTCTCAAAAAGAAAAAAAATGAATTAATGAGTAAAAGGTCAAGGCTGGGGAAGAAAGTAGACTCATGTATCTAGCCTCTTATAGGGATAGCTAATATTTTTTGAACATTACCTTGTCCTAGACACTAAATCTTCTATGTGTTTTAAGTCATTTAATTCTCAGACCAACCGCATGAGGGAAATGCTGTTTGTAACTCCATTTTATTTGATTTGATTTTAATTAATTAAGTTAGTTAATTTAGTTAGTTATTTTGAGACAGGGTCTCACTCTGTTGCCTGGGCTAGAGTGCAGTGGCATCATCATAGCTCACAGCAACCTCAAACTCCTCAGCCTCCCCAGTAGCTGGGACTACAGGCATGCATCACCATGCCTGGCTAATTTTTTTGTTTTTTGTAGAAACGGGGTCTTGTTCTTGCTCAGGCTAGTCTTGAACTCCTGGCCTCAAGTGATCCTAGTGCCTCGGTAGCCCCATTTTACTGGTAGAAAAACAAAAGGACAAAGAAGTAACTTGGCCAAGGTCACCCAGCTAGTAAATGGCTGAGTCAGAATTTGAACTCAGAGCCTTTGCTCTCATGTGTGGGGCCATGGAGTAGTTTCCTGTTGGAGGGGAGCTGGTCACGGAATTAGTGCTGACTTTGCTTCAGCTAACAAGAAAGTAATCACTAATATCCATACTGTGATTTGTAGTTTCTATAGTGTTTTTACATTCATGATCTAAATCCTCACAGCAATCCTCATTTTAAAGAGGAGAAAATTGAAAATCAGAAAAGTTAACAATCTTGTCCAAGACCCCACAGCCAAGTTAGAGCTAGAATTCAAACCCACTGTTTCTGCCTCCAGCTCCTACATCTGAAGCTATGAGCTGGTTTGTGGCCCTACTATCATCCATTAAACCCATCAGGTCCTGGAATACCTTCTGTGTTATCCAGGAACAGATTAATTCCAATTTTTGGAAGAATTGATAATCTGTATATAGAAATGCAACTGAAATACCTCATTATCCAGATAAAAGTTTATTGTACTTTCATGGTTTTCAAAATCACAGATTTTATTTTTCCCAAATATTGGGAAACCCTGACATTGCTTCCCTAGAAATAAGACATGCATTCTGGAAGCAAATCTCACTAAAACAGTGAATGAAGACTATCAGATAACTTTTCCGGTTCAAAAAGGAATTTTTTTGAAAAGTCACTCAAAGGTTTTAGAGTCTAAAGATGTCTAGGGAGAAGTAAAAGATGTATCAGAAGGGAGAGAGGACCACCGATCAGCATGGAGCAAACCAGAGACCCATTGGGCACTTTCCCTGCAGGGCCTTCTGATGAGATGAAAGACCATTGACTGGGCAGTTGAACACCAGGAGGTCAGTAATCCTGGCTGGGTGACCTTGGTCTTATCACATGACATTCTGAGCTCTGTTTCCTTTTCTGTAAAATGCTGACCTCCCAACCCCAGTATTTCATGATTCTGTGATTATAAGTACATCAAAACATCATTCTTTTGTTCATTATAGAATGGTTATATAAGCAGTCTATGTCCAAAACACATGGGTTGAAATAGCCTCCAAAACAGCCCTGCACATTTTACTGCTGTTGTTTCTTCTAAAATGTTAAACTCAGTGTTTTGAATTAATTCTTTCTTCTTCCTCTTCTTCCCCCTCCTCTGAATCCACATATAATAGCCCATTGTGCACAAGTTTTCTCTTATGATTTTCCACCAATCTTAGAATTATGTGTACCTCTGAGCAATGCTAAATGGGACCCTTGATCACAATAACAGTTGCTCTTTTCCATCCTCACATGGCGACGCTAACAGTCCTGCTGTGATGTAACTTTGATTTCATGCCTTTGAAGGGTGGCTAATGCTACAAAGATCGCTTTGTATGAGACCCCAACTGGCTGGAAGTTTTTTGGGAATTTGATGGATGCGAGTAAACTGTCCCTTTGTGGGGAGGAGAGCTTCGGGACTGGTAAGTCACACTCCTGTGCTAGCATTTTCCTCCCTGTAACTGCTACTTCCAGCGAAAGCTTAGACTGCTAAGGTAGCACTAAAATAGCAACAGTAGCTGATGTGTCCTAAATCAAGACACAATTTATTTATAACAACTCTGATGAAGTGTACACATTTGAAAAGCGGCAAGTGCATTCAGCCAGGAGGGCTAATTTTACTTTGAGAGGATCACATCTACAGAGACAGGAAGTTTGGGGGCCTCCCTGGCGGCATGGTCATTGAGTCTGCAGGGATTAAACAGAGTGATAAACATATTTTTCTTGCCTCAGTGGTCAAGGAAACCTTTATAAATGTTTTCATTTCTGGGAAGAAATAGGATGGAGGGAGTGTGTTTTTCGTTTTTGTTTAAAAGGAGGTTTCAACACAGTATTAAATCTTTCTCTCGCATAGACCTAGTTTTTCTATGGCAACAAGTTATGATTTATCAAGGTTAAATGAAGGAAGACCATGAGGGTGGAGCTAAGTTGCTAGATGATCAAGAAATTAAAACTACATCCTTGTGCATGAGGGTGTATGTGTAATTGCAGTACAGTATACTCGGGGGATCACCCAAGACCCTTAGACCCCATTTTCTGTGGTCTCCTTCCTCCTCTCTGCCTGTCCAAATACTGACCTGAACTCGCACCTTCTTCATGACCCTCCCTACGACCTCATTCTACCTACATCAGTCTCTCTTGTCTAAACTTATCTGTTCAGCCGTGTGGCTCTTTCTCATGTCTTGGTCTCCAGCCAGATTGCAAGGCGCTTAAGTGGCCATATCGCTTCTCCTCCTATTCTCTCTACCCAATATTTTTTTTTTTTTTTTTTTTTGAGACAGAGTCTCGCTTTGTTGCCCGGGCTAGAGTGAGTGCTGTGGCATCAGCCTAGCTCACAGCAACCTCAAACTCCTGGGCTCAAGCGATCCTACTGCCTCAGCCTCCTGAGTAGCTGGGACTACAGGCATGTGCCACCATGCCCGGCTAATTTTTTATATATATATATTTTTAGTTGTCCAGATCATTTCTTTCTATTTTTTTTTTTAGTAGAGACGGGGGTCTCGCTCAGGCTGGTCTCGAACTCCTGACCTTGAGCGATCCACCCGCCTCGGCCTCCCAGAGTGCTAGAATTACAGGCGTGAGCCACCGCGCCCGGCCTCTACCCAATATTTTGAAGTAAAAGGACTGATTTTCTTGGCCTTTTAGTACTCTGCTGTCACCTTTTAGCAAAGAAAAGAAGATCAAAACCAAGCATTCTATCAGCCTTGCATTGAGTTGCAGTTCATGCCAGGTTAAACAACAGAATACTGACTTCGTTTCCTTTCCTACAAGGCTGGGGGTAGAGTGGGTAGAATGAGCTGGTAAATTTGAGGCACATATTTACAAAGTTCTAAGCAATTTAATATCCTTGAGAGAGTGGTAGTACTCTTTGGCAATAAATTGACTTGCCAAAATTGGAAGGTATTAAGAAGGATGGAGGAGTCTTGGGGTTGAACAGTGTCCACAACGAAGGCTAGATCACTTGCCAAAGTTCTGAGTCTTTAATCAGAGATTACAAGGCCACTGCTTAGTTCTTTCCTACTTCATATATGTAGATGGCGCCATGTTAGTCCGAGGGATACTACGTGAATGGGGGGTCTTCTCCATGAAGTTCCCCACCCCCAGTGTCATCTAGTCCAGGCTTGGTATCAGTCATTCTTCTTTGTAGATGAAGATGTCTCTGAAGGCAGGCACTGTGTGAAAACCTTTGGTTTCCTGCCCTGCCCTTATGTCCCTATATCAGTGCTGAGCCTGGTGAAAAGAGAAAAAGCTTGAATCGGGTTTCCCAGAGTGTGTAGTATGTGGAAGATACTAGTTCCAGGAGAGGATTCTGGGAGTCCACAAAGATTGGGAAACTTGGAGTATACCTCTCTATCTCGGGTATTCACGATGATAGTAGCATTTGAAGGTTCCAAAACATTCTACTCTGAGGAATACTGTCAGTAAAGTTTTGCCCAAACATAGTTAACCACAATATCTTTTTTTTTTAATAGTACATACAGTAACATCTTGTCCCACAGACCCCTGTGGGGAGCACTGAGTAGGAGGGATCAGAGCCCCAGAGCCAAGGAGGAGTCCCTGGTGTTGACGGGCTGGGAACAGGCCTGGTGACAGGATGGCACAGGCTGCTCCTCTCTTACATGACAGGACTTCAGATACTAGAGCAGCTCTCAGGTCCTTCCTTCTCCAGGCCTCCCATCCTTGGTTCTTCCAGTTGCTCCTCGTTTCACATTGTTTATAGAGCTAGCACTAGCCTCTGGATGCTTCTAGGTTCACCAGTGCCCGTCTTGGAAGGTGGTGCCTAGAACTGAGCCCAAATCATCCAGGCTTGGCCTGGCCAGCGAAGAGTAGGGTGGGATGAGTATTTCTAGTGATCTGGGCACAGTACTTTTCTTTGTATAACTTTCAATATGTTAGCTTTTAGGAAGTTTCATAATACTGTTTATGTAAGGCTGTGGATAATTAAAGCCTTGAAGTTTTTACCTGGAACCATTTGCCAATAAAAGTCCCCCACGTTATATTTGTGGAATTGATTTCTTTGAACCAAAGTGTTAGATTCTAGACTATTCCTTGCTAACATTTGCTCTGAGTTATTAACCCATTCAACAAATACCTAGTGCCAACCATGGTTTTATCTTCCCTTTGATATATTTTATATCCAAAGAGAGAATGTATCATGAGAATAATCCACAAGTTCTTTCTCTCTCTGAAAGAAAGAAAATTGTTGTGTAATATTTCTGAGATAAACATTTTAAAAACCAGGCTGCATAACCATGGGTCTCCACCATTGTGAACAAGTGCAGCTGAACTTACTTAACTGAACTGATCTCCTTATTTAGAGAGGAGTTAATTTCCACCTACCCTGTCCCTTGCTAGTGAATATTTGCAACAGTTCCTTTATAGAGTTTCTCAGGGTGAATGTTAGTGGTTCTGTGAGCTTCGAAATATTTGCATTCTATAGCTTAACAATGCAGGGCACTTTATTTCTGTATTTTTCCAGGCAATAGCAGAGGCAATTTCTGCAGAAAGCCTCTTTGACCTTTCAGAGTGGGTCAAATCCCCTGAATATTGGCTTACAAGGAACCACAGACCTCTCCTTTGTAGCACTTGTTGCAGTTGTGATTTTACAATTATTTATGATTATTTGATTAATGTCTGTTGGCTCCACTAGACTGTAAATTCCATGAGGACAGATTGTATCCCTAGAGCCTCCCATAGAGCCCAGCATAGAGTAGGTGCTCAGTAAACATTTGTTGAATGAATGAAAGAACACTATTCACTTGGCACCTTCCATTTAGACAAATAGAATCCTGCTGTTGGAAAGAACTTTAAAAGTCATTTGATGTAATTTCCTGTATGATGCTGCAACCATAAGTGACCAGTCAGTGCTTTCCTGCTTAAACACGCACCTGAGTGGAGAATCCACACTCACCTCTCGCAGCAGCCTGGGACTCTTGTGAGAACTCAACGTCATTCCGACTTCTCAGTCCAGAGTTGGGGACGCCAAGGTCTTCGTGAGAAGAAACAAGCTTCTACAAAAGTTAATTGCAAAGAGGTGCAAAAAGGAGTCAGACTTCAGAAGAACTGGCTCACCAAGTAAAATAAACATTCGAAGAATAAGCCCATAATACTACCAGGTATACATTAGTCTGTTCATGGTGGAGATACAGCAACTTTCTCACCTGATTATCATAACCACAGAGGCTAGAACATTTCTTCAGATGTCAGCATTACAAACACGAGGGATAAATGTGTTCTTCGTTAGGAAATCAGAAATGGAGACCAGAACTAGCCAGGAGGAATCTGTTGTTTTCAGTTGCTTTCATGGTGCAAAGCTGTTTTTTCCTCCCAACTGTGGATGATGAGGTACATGTTTATACACAATGACAGAGGGCAAAGTGTCAATTCTATCCCACCTTGGACTTGTCAGGACATTGAAAGAAAAGTCACTGAATAATATAGACTGTCATTGCTTTTGAAACTCTTCCTCGGGAAAATAGGGGGCTTGGGAAAGAGGGGTAGGAAGCCAGGTTGAAGACGAACCTGGTGTCGCTTGGAGATACGCCAGTAAATTATGGTCTGGTCAGGTCCAGAGGTGAGCAATGTTTTCCCTGTCCTGTGTTTAAAAGGTTCTAGCCATGACGTATCATATAAGAGTGCTAACTTGAAGATATACAGCATTCATGCTTTGCAGATTTCTTTTAGTCTTAATTTCTTAAGAAAAGTCCTTCGTGTTTGTGCTTCTTTGCATCCATTTGATCCCCAAATGTTTATTGAACTTTGACTGTATCCTGGATGCTGGGTCAGGCTCTGGAGACACAGTGGCAAGCACGACCTGCTCATGGAAGGCTCCACGAGTTTCCATCTGGGGAAGGAGGTCAGACCCTGGCCAGGAATTACAAATGTGCAAAGTGATAGAAGGTGAAGTGTGTGGTACTCTGGGAGCTTTATACTCAGTGTGCCTGACCTGGTTCTGAGGCATAAGGAAGCAGATTTTCTATCTCATTCTCTGCCCATTCTAACTTGCATTGTTCTTGAGCCCATCTCCCTGCAGGTAAAGCCCCCAGCGGAAGGTTGCTGCATCCCACGTCTAGGGATATCCCCACAGAATACCCAGTAGAACCAGGCTTGTGCCCTAATTATAACTAACTCCATTGAACTGTTACCTGCATGTGTGTCTCCCTCACCTGTCTGTGCTCATCTGTGAGGGCAGAGGACGTGCCTTACGCTTCTTGGTGTTCTCTCATGTACTTGGAACATGCTGGCACTGATTCACATTAGTTGGATGTAAAGTGAAGTTTGCATGAGGACACAGTTCCTGCCTGTCAGGCACTTCCTACCTCCCTCCAAAAGTGCCTCACAGACAGGGAACAGAGTTCCAGGGGCAGTCATGAGCAGCGCAGGAGTCATTGCTAAGTGGAGAGTCTGGGACTTCTGGGGACAGCCCCCTGGGAGCCGGAGAGGGCTGGAAAAGGCTTCCTGAGGAGCTCGCCTTTCTTTCCGAGTGAGGTTATTTGTGCAGTGGAAGGCCAGGAGGACAGGACTCTGCGGAGGCTCCCGGCCAGTCAGCTGGGGCCTGGCCTTTCTTCGGACAGACCCTTACTGAGAGCTGACTGTGGGTCAGGCCCCGGGGTGGGGGTGGGCACAGCTCATAGTGTAGGGTGGGGCGTGACCGAGGGAAGGGTAGAAGCACAGGGGGCAAGGAGGGCGTCCTGGATAAGGGCGAAGATGAAAGGAACTGCAGGAGATGCCAGCCAGGCCGATGGGGGTGTGTGGGGTGGGACCCCCCAGGCAGAGGGAGCAGTCTGTTCAGGGGGCTGCCAGAGAGAGAGAAATTGACAGAGAAAGACAGAGACAGACAGACAGACACTGGTACGTTTGGAGAACTCCATGGAGCTGTTTTTCAGCTGCCGCATCCCCATCCTCAGACCCGTGGCCTGGCAGGGGCAGAAAGCAGGCAGCCCCTGCAATGCCCACACTGGTAAGTGTGATCCCTAAACCGTTAGCTCTTGGCTCCCTCAGCAAGGGTTGACATTTTTCTTGGCTGAGACCCAGAGTATGCCCTGACTGAGCCGAGTTTTCGCTTATCACAAGGTGCTGATTAGGCCGAAGCAAAGTGACAGGTGTTCGAAGATGCTGAAAGGGCAGAATTCGATGCACGCACTCAGTCCCCGAGCCAAGCAAGTGTAAAGAGACCCAGTGCAAAGCCCACCCCTGCCCGGTGTCAGCTGGGGCTAGCCGAGGTGCTGCTCACGGTGTTTTCCCTTCTCACAGCTAAGTGAGCATGGCTTCTTTTACTTTCGAACAATTAAAACATAGACGTAATTCATCTTCATTATAGAAATAATTCCAGGCTGTGTACTGCTGTCATGAATTCCCAATATACTGGGGAATTAAATGAGAAAGGAAGAAAAAGCTCTGTAATCCCAGTGCCCAGAGGAAAGAGCATATTGGGTTATATTCTTCCATTTTCTTCCCTAATATATACAGTTAAGGAGCATTATTTTTGAAAGCTTTATAAGCTCAATGGAAAAGAATTTTCTATAAAATATGCTTTTTGTTTTTTCCTTTATTCATAATGGTATCTTGCATTTATATAGTGATTAACAGTTTATAAAATATCCCCACTTGCTTTATCATAGCGGTTTCTCACAGTTGTGTGAAAGAGGTTAGCATTATCTGCATTTTACAGTTGAATAAACTGAGGCTCGGAAGAATTAAGTAACTTGTCCAAATTCAAACAGCTTGTAAGTAACAGAGCCTCAAATTCCGGCTTTCTGATTGCTAAGTTAGCAAACATTTCCTAATAAGCCACAACTGTACAAGTTGGTAGCTTTAGAAACACATACATGCTCCAGAGCCTTTTTTCACTGGAAATATGCCATTATTCATCAGAATGCGGAAGAGAATGAAATTTATCCAGCCTTCCTGAGTATTAATCAAATTACCTAGAGTTTTGATACATCCAAGGTGATTTAGTGAGATTAACCAAAACATCCAAAGGGACTGAGGGTCGTACAATTGGAATAGGTGTAGGATATCTGTTCGTGTTACCCAGGATAGATACTTCATTTCTAATATTACATGTATGATTTAGTTATCTCCAAGTAACTTGGTCAGAGTTGGGTTAGACTTTTAGATTTTATTTTCATTTCCATATAAAAGAAAAAACCAAGTTCTTCACTTAGAGCAGGAAAAGCACAAAGGAACATTGCCTCCTATGCGTTCTGTCTTGCCAAAAAAGAAAAAAAGAAAGAAAAAAGAAAAAAGTTCAAGAAAAAAAAAGGAAGGAAAAAAACTGGAGCACAGACAAATAATTCCGGGCTGTATACTGCTGTCGTGAATTCCCAATATATTAGGGAAGCTGCCAGAATCTCACTTCTCAGGATGAACTGTTGCCAAAACATATCATTTACAAAAGCCATAAGAAGCAGAGAGCTAACTTTTTCTTCCTTAAAATAGCAGTAAAGGCAAATAAAAGCCTATAGATAATAAAATTAGGTAAACATTTCTAAAATTTGTTATATAAAGCACTAAAAATATTGCCTACTATTTCTAGTTTTGCCAGCATTCAGATTTTTAAGGACGGTTACTTCTAAAAGTGGTATCCCATTGAAGAGAAAAACCTTTTGAAAGAAAAAGTTGTATGTTTTTATGAACCCAGAATAGAAAATGTTGGAATAGATTCATTTGTTGACTCATTCATTCTTGCACTCTTCGTAATTAGTTATTTACCATGTTCCTTGTGCTATGCTAGTCACCAGACTTAGTTATAACAATAAGTAAGAGACGCTTCCAAAAAGTGCATGGGTAGTAGGTAGAAAGACCCTAACAGGAGCATGGCGCCACCCCAGATGTTTTGTGCAGTTGCTTTAGGAAAGAGAAAGGAGCTCGTAACTGCTGAGGGAAGCAGGGAGCTAGTCTCAAAGAGGAGAGGACATTTGAGCTGGGTCTGAAAGGATGAAGGAGGGAAGGAAAAAACTTAGCACATGCCTCCCACATAGCCGGCATTGTGGTAGATACTCTGACAATTCCAAGAAGAGTAAGAACCTGTGGGAACCAGGGCAGCAGGCACATAGAGAATTCAAGTTATGACAATGTGCAAAGCATGATTATAGAAGGATTGTATAGAGCCTATTCAGAAATCAGAAAATGGAGCTCAATATAGTCTGCTTTTTTTTTTTTGAATAAGGAGTTTAAAGGCAAAAAGTGGGAGTTCTGTTCCAGGCTCTTAGAAAAGGGTCTCCATGCATATAAGCATATCCGAAGAAACCAATTTTTAAATTTTGGTAAAGATTTTAGCCAGGAGGTCATAGTTTATTTAACCAATCCTAGTTGGTTAAATAGCAATGTCTTTGGATTGGAGTTGCTGGATCCATGAGTAGGTGCGTTTTTAAAGCTTTGATAGTTTTTGCCAAATTGCTTTCCAGAAGTGTGCCAATGTACACTCCCACCAGCACTATTTTGGAAAACAGTTTCCCTTATACCTCCCCAATACTGGGTGTTCTAATTATTAAATCCATGGCCATTTTTGTCAAGCAAGTGGCAGTTTCTTCATTGTGGGTTTTTTTTTT